TTGCCAGGATGGAATATAATTTTTGGAAAACAGCATTACTGTGCAGAGTATATTTTTATATAACAACTCTGACAATATCTTGCTTTAGTATATGCATAAAATTACACTAAAATTATATCCAAAACTTAGTAAACAAAAACACGATAATAATGTATTTACTTCTTCAGAATCCCAAGAGAAAGGATTCTATCATAACTAATTTTTCTGATATTTATAATGTGAAGTACTGAGGTCCTGCAGACCCACTGAGAAGTAATTACAGCTATTTCACTGGAAATCTTAGCATATAAAATCATATTGAACTCATTAAAAACTTGAGAAATAGTTACATCAAGTAGTATCTGTTACAGAATATAAGCAAGGAAGTTTATGAAAAACAATTTGTAAACATGCACCAATATCTAAGCTAGTAATTTCAAATCAAATGCTTTAAAAATAATAACACAATCTTAGTTCTCTTCTTGTAGGAATAACTGCAATATTTTACTCATTTTAATTCAGTGCTGCTTTTATAGGTCCATACAACAAAACAGATAACATCTTGTGAATTACAGGGGCTATATCTCAGAATTTTAAAAATAGTGTAAATTGCTAGATAAAATGGTAAAAAAAACATAGGTTAATAATTTATGTTCCAAATTTATTCAATTTAAAATAGTGGCATTATGAATCCCGTTAAACACATGCTTAAAATAGAAAGGTTCACAGATCACAGCAGCACTTGTTGGTATTCTCATGGTGAATGTAGAATCACTCAACTGCTTTAGTCTGTCATTTGCTTTTCTTTCAACATTTTTCATACTTGCATCATTCCTTTAACATATATAATTGTCAGTGATTCACATTATTAATTTCTATTTACTGTAATTTTGAGATAGAGTTAATGAATTCATAGCATAATTATGCTCTCGTCCCATTGTTAAAAATAAATAACAGAGTACATAAACGCAATATAAGTCAATGACAGAAATCCATAGAACTGTAGGTGAAGTTATACATAAATTATTATAGCTGTATTTTACTACAAACTTCCAAAGTAAAATTGCAGCACACACTCAGGAACATTTGTGAGCTTTTTAGGTCAACTTGTGATTCTCAGATATTTACACCTCTGCCCCCTGAATGATGAACCTTAAGGAATCTAATTTTGTGGTACTAATGCTATTTCTTTTTCTCTTTATCAGTCAAAATACATTTTGTGTTTGTTTACCAACAGACAGAACAAGAATTCATGTAATATGTGACTGTAAATGAAGAAAATGTTTAAAAATAATTAATATCATTTTAAAAGGTATTTGAGTCTTCTGTTTTGGCCTCTGTTTAGCTGTACTAGGCCTGTGAATGACAGCTTCCCTGCTTGAAGCATACAGAAAACACAGCCTTACTCATTCACTGACAGTACTATGGCCTTTTCACACGTTCCCTCCACAGCAGTGTTTGTCCCCAAACAGTGGAACCCAGCACAATGGCATTCCTGCTTCAACACCCCCACCAACAGCACAACTACATATCACGAATGCTAATGAGATGGACATCTCCCATCACTGAAAGTGTTAACTACATTTCATACTCACATGTTTATTGTTTTTTTTCCCACTGGTATTTATGAATTTAAACTTTTGGATAGCTCTGAGTAATTCAATTTTGGTCAAGTCTTTGTCTTTGCGTGTTTTAAATAAAAAATTATCTGTGCATCAAGTCTTTGTCTTTGTGTGTTTTAAATAAAAAATTAATAGTCATCACATCTCACACAAAATACAAATGTTACCATTTAAATCTATTTTGGTGTCAGCCAGATTTTTCACAAAAAAACTAAGACAGCATTTTTCAAGACACATACTATAATAGTTACTATGCCCCAAACTGAAAATTATTTACAAAATAACTCTCTCTCGTGCTCAATATTTTTCATATATTTTACAAAAAGTTCATCTATTAAAATGCCAGTTTCTGACAGTGTTAGATTTTCAATGTGAGATTTTGCAAGATGTTACTGGAGTCCACAGAGATGATATAAATAATTACAGTAAAAGAGAGCCTAGATTTTAAAAAAAGTAGAAAGCAAGCTATTATGATGTATTGTATAAAAAATACTGTTAATTTATTTTCTCTTGAGATATCTCTATATTAGAAACTTTCTTCAAATCTTAAGTGCCTTCTTACTTTTACTTGCTTTATACTACCCTACCTGACTTTCAAGGAATGTTATTTGTAGATTACCAACATTCATCCTAAAATGGTACAAAAGGTACAGTAAGGTGACCTCAGACTTTGTGGTCTAAGAAGTTTGACTCTTTCACATTCACTGACTCTTCTAGGGCAAGAAGCAACAGGGTGATTTGAAACTGTGCAATCTGCAATATGTAGCCTTGGGGGCCAAACAGTATGTATTTTTTTATAGAAGTATGATAGTACTCACTGAAATAGAGATCCAGTTAAATTGTAATAGAAGTACCTCACATTACTATCAAGCTAGTAATATTTGTAAGAGCTATTTTGTCGCAATGGGTAAAGGATGTGATCGTAGCACAATAATTGCAGGTCAAGGATATTTTTCTATCATTTTTCTCCATTTTTAATTTCTTTATTTAACATAAGATAGTCTAAATACAAATACAATACAAAAAAACATAATACTGAGATCAATAAAAAGCAAAAAAAATGAATCATTTATGGCTGCCAGAATGTCTAGATATTATATAAGTCTGAAAACTACATGAAATATCACATCATTGGGTTGTACTGTCATGCCTTGGCAAACAGAATGGGAGGAAGGCCTTTTCACTGAATTTCCTAAACCTCATTTACCATGTCAGAACTTACTTATTTTATGCTCTGTTTGAACTTATTTTTAACTTATTGATAACACAAAATACAGAAAATGAAAAGTAATATTGCAAAATTATATGCTATACTCTCTAAATACACATCCTAGGTTCTGTAAACACCCTATATTGGATCTCACTTACAAAAAAATTCTAGTAAGATAGTGAACAGTAAAATTTGAAAGAAAATATGCTTAAAACAGATTTTAGTGTTTAATCTTACTTTTATCTACAGAAATATTAATCCAGGTAATGCATACAGTTTCCTTTCAACAGACTGAAAGTGTTTTAGGAGATACCAAATATTATTTTAATAATAAAGACCTAATATTATTGTAATAATTTTATAAGGTTTAAAGTTATTGCTTTATTCTTGATACTCCAAATGTTATTTTGAAATGTATATAAGAACAATTTTGATTTTCTTTATATTTTTTTAAATGTCACATTTATACTCCTAATTCTAACCTGTTCATATTATGTTCCTTAAACAATGAAACACCTGCAAAAGGTATATGGCACTTAGGTCCACATATAATTATTTCAGTATCTACATGCATTTGTTTTCAGAGGTGCTTTCAAATAAAATAAAATTATTTTTCTGCTATTAAAACTCTTCCCGAACTGATACTTTTGGCCATTATTGGAGAAATCATTAAACCAGGTTAATATAGTGTAGTGTCACCATATTTTCTTTCTAAAGAAGAATAAAGAGCCACCCACAAAGTGTTTTTCTTCAGGTCTTATTCAGGAGCTTCCCCCCACCTCCCAAAGCTGTTACCTGCTTTTTTATTTTAAAGATTATGACTATATTTGTTAAATACTCGAATGTCTCATATTTGATAGATTTCATGTTCATGTTTTCTAAAGATTAATTATCATCTTATCAGAACACTGTAATATTGATATATTTTTATTTTTATACCTTTTAACAGACAACATTGTTTTATAAGTGAGGAATATCAATAGAAAATATGAAGATGCTCACCATCATCTTTTACTATGCTGATAAAATAAATTATCTTTTAAAAGAAGCCCTTTCTTAGCCTTACTGATTGTTTCTATTTACTTGAGTTCCTATTTTTGATCACCATTAGCTTGAGACAGGAACGGTATTTTCCAAAGTCAATGCTGATTTCTCTGTATGGATCTGGCAGCAGGAGGTGCTGTATAAACAGTGTGACTGACACCCTGGCTTCCACCTCCCCTCCCCCTCCCTACATAGGCTGATATAGCGTGATCTATCTGATGCATTCATTCTTAACTCTGGGGCCTGAAATTATTTTGAAACTGAGTTTCCTAGCTGGCTGTTTAATGTATAATTATTACTTTTTCTGAGAAATCTGCACACCTACTTTTTTCATAAATCATTCAACTAACCTTTTAAAGATTACTCTCAGATTTATAAATCAAAAGATGTCACACCTAACTATTCTAATAACTCTGGCAATTTCATTTTTATTCAAAAGTATTAACATGCAAAACCTTCTGATTAAGAAGTAATAAATACATCTGTATGTTGCTCCATAAACACACATGGATGCAAATAAAGCCACTTTGAATTAATCAGGTCTAAGACTACAACCGATCAAATAATGCATGCTATATCCCAGATTCATGTATGTATCCAAATTAAAATATATGTCTTATATATTTATTTAATTCCAAATGCATGGTCACTAAAATATTATTGGTTATCCTAGCAATTGTAAAATTCTGTTATTTTTCATAAAGTAACTTCAGTAATGTTTAGATTTTTTTTTTTTAGCAAAAACATTTTTCAACTAAGGCATACTTATTTTGATTAGCCTGGTGGGAAGAACTACAAGTTTGCATAGTAAACATCATAGGTGCATCAACAGCTATTAATTTTTTAATGAAAAATGATTGTCTTTATATAGAATCTCCACATAAGGAATGTATCAGTTATGCACAGTGTGCAGCAAGAAAAGATGAAACGTATGACATCCCACACTAAAAGACAGATGCAATTAGCTCCATTATTGTTGCCTTTGAGATTATAGATGAAGCATTTCGTTTCCCTAACAGGCACCAAAGTTCATGCAATACATGCCACACTTCTTTATGACACAGTGCCAATCATTTCTTTTATACAACCGGTACATTTTTAAATGAAAACAAAAAAGCAGTCTGTTAAAGAGTGGGACAACTCACCTGTTTGCAATAGTTTTTTGCAGACTTTAATCGATGGTGCAAGGCCAATAGGACTCCCTGGATATACATCTTTGCTCCTGAGGGGCTGAAACCTTCTCCCTTAGAGACCCAAACAGGTCCACGCAAAGGTGTGAAGGAATTTTGCAGGCATTTGTCAAGCACAGGAACTAGACAAGGAAAAAAAAAAAAGAAAATGCATTCTTTTGACCCAACTGAAATACACAGCCTGAAATGCAGCCCCACCATCAGAACTAACTCCTAATATCTATTATTTATATCTGACCTGGGTTAAGTCTTGGAAAAGCAACTCCTGCATTACTAGTGGCCACCATGAAGGATGTATTTATATTGAGACACCCCCCATGTAAGACTTATAAGCTTCGTGAGCACACCTGAATAGTTCTGAAGTGTGCCTAACTAGCTGCACAGAGTGTCATGGTGTGCACTGATTGCCTTATCTTCTCATTTATCACAGATGAGTTGGAACCAACCTTGCTGAAATCTACTTGCATTGTCCTGATAAAATTGCAAGATCCATGTTGTTTTTGTACACAGTTTCCTGTTGAGGGGCTTATGTATACCTAAAATATTACACATTAGATTATCCATAAAAATATAATGAACACGCTCATAAGCAATTTTACAATAACCTATTCATTGCCACTGCTCAAGCATCAGCCTCAGATCAAATAAAACAGCTCAAGGTGGCTGTTTAATAATGAAGGGAAAGTCAAAGGAAAAGATATATACAAGTAGATTCAAGGCAATAATGTTAACAAGATTTTTCTTTAAATTTTTTGACTGTATCCCATATGTTTAAAGCATTCTCTCTAAGTAGCATCTTATGCCAATATATTGTGACAGACAAGACAAGAACCTTTTGGCAGGAGGCTTTAGTGAGACACATACATTTGGCACACATTTTGGACTTTACTGTGTTGTGTAATTAATATATAACCCGTTTTTATGTGAGATAAAATAAAATGGTGCTTGGCTGCTTAAATATGCAATATTTTCAAGCTTTTATCTAATACTATAAAATGTAAAAGATGTTCCTGTTTTTTCTAGAAATCTAAAAGAAAATTGACAATCAAGGAATACCAGTATAAACCACACTTATGAACATTTGCAAATAAAATATTATAGCTTTAACTCTAGTACTCTGTGGTCATTTCAGGAATACATGTTGTTTTCATTCACATGTGACTACACATACATGTTACTCATCTGATATGTGTTATATATACTCATGTCTGTAATAATTTTATTGGCAGATATGTAGCAAGAAAGGGATATCTGTATTGTCAACAAAAAAATGAGGAGATACTATGTGTACATTATATTTTACATATTTTGTGGAAAACAGGACACTAACATCCCATTCAGGAAGCCGATTCCCAATTTAACTCAACTGTTGTTCAACTTTCCCCAACCATACAGAGCTAGACTGTATCCTCAGTAAAGAAAATGTCATAAGGGAACTCCTGTTGACCTGCGTAGTTGACCACTTTAAAGTAAACATAAAAGAAAGATCATACAGATGTGAGTTAAGGCAAGGTAAACATTGCATATTTACTTTTGCTAAAAGCAATGTATTTTAAATATACTGTCACATAACAAAGGCAGAATCAAAATATCATAAAATTATTTTAGAGGGGGATATTAATTTCAAAATATAAAATCATGTAGCTTTATTATGCCCCTAAACTGTCAAAATAGCTACATGCCTACACCATATGCCTTAAACCTTATTAGAATATTGTCTTATCACCTGGTCAGTAATTTTAGTTAGCTGCTGTTGCTTTCATGTGACTAATGCTTCAAGACTCAACATGATATTTACCTGTTTGTCTGAGAGATATCACTACCTACTTCTATGCTGAATGTTATACATAAAATGCCCTTCCTGAATAGGTTTGAAAAGCCACTATAGTGTCTCTAATTAATTTGCTACTGAAGTTCCAACTCTGATATGATACCTACAAGAAACTATGGCTCCAGTTTGTCAATGTATTTAAGCAGCTACAAAAATGAAACTACTTCCATGCTTACATTTAAGTCAAGGGAACTACCTACATGCTTAAAGTTAAGCACCTAGGACATGTCCCCATAAGCAGCAACATGTGTTTCCCCAGGGACAAGTAGCAGTGGCAAACCTTGTACCACTGTCACTTGGCCTCTGGGGAATGCCCATGCTACACGCGCTCTGCCATGCAGCAGTTTACCCCAGATGGGGTAGAGGAGGCTGGGGCCAGCAGCTGTGCTAGCTCCAACAGCCTTACCTAGGGGCCTCTGGGAGCTGCAGCCATGGCAATACTGCAGCAGGGAGCCTGGCCAGCAGTCAGAGTGTGGCTCCAGCCAGTCAGGCTCCAGTTTGGGGTGGCATGTGCTGCTGCCATGTACATCACCCGACTTTTCTTAGGCATGAGTTTGTTTGACCCTGGGATCTCCTGGAGTCAAATCCCTCCCCATGCTGCAAAGTAGGAAACACATGACTGTGCGATGTGTGTGGTGCCACAGACAGGTCTGCGGCACTGCATACAACTCATCCAACTTTGTCTGGACACACCCCTAGAGTCTGGCCAAAAAGGCCTCAAAAAATTTCACTCAGTCTTGAGAATGTCTACAAAGTCTGTATATGTATATGATGTATTATTGTAGCAGTATAAAACATGATGGGTCAAATCTTTAGCTTGTGAAAACTGTCAAAGCTCTACTGATTTCAAGTTTATACAAGTTGAGGATCTGGCTGAATTAATTCCATACCAAACGAAAAAATAAATAAAATACAGAATATTTTACTATTTGCATGAGTAATTTTGACAGACATCAGTTTTGTTCCAGATAGCCCTTGGCCAGAATGACTCTTAACCAGGGCTGTCCAGCTGGTGGCCTGCAGGCCAACCCACAAGGTGTTAACATGCAGCTGACAGGCTCTCACCAGGCAGCCACTCCACCCATTGCTCTTGCAGCTGTGGTGACTGGGTTCTCCAGGCTCCCGCTTCCTCCTCCAGGTCCTGGTTCCTGTCCCCACACACAAAAGAGGACCAGGCTGCCTATGATGTAAATAGGTGGAGGAAGGAGCAGGCTGCACATGCAGCAAATGAGATAACTCAGGCAGCCTGTGGTGCAGGTGTGTTGCTTGGTCATGTGCTGGAAAGGGGATGGAGGAGGAGCTGAACTGCTAAATGTGCATAGTGGGGAAGGGAGGTCCACATGGTGCTGGTGGGAGCAACACTGTGCATGTAGTGAGGGAGCTGTACATGCAGCAGGGGTAGCTGGGTGAGATCCACTGAGCATATAGTGAGATGACTGGGCTGCTGACCCAGTGAGTGGGGAGCTACACTGCAA